TATCAAATTGCATCAAAGATTTGCAACCGTTAAACAACAAAGTGCCAAAAAGTTCATTTAAAATACCATTTAAATAGAAAGGCCATTTACATTGTAGAAAAATATGAAGGATAAAGGAAAGACCAATGAATTATGCACAGTATTGTTTCTGCAAACAGGACTGAATTGTGAAGACAGATTTGTTTGCATTTTTGCTATAAATATTCAGAGCATTTAAGAGATTCTGCAGATATTTCTCCAAATTTGGGAGCCACAAGCCATGATGTCTATTTCATATCTAAAAAGGAGTTTGATTTTCCATTTAAAAAATACAAACAAACAAGTAATGTTGGTTTAGGTCATAAATCCAACAGAAAAATTGGCTAAAGTGCATAAGTGTTGTTCCCTTCAACGTATTTGAAAGTCAGGCTAGCTAAGCTAACTTTATTTATTTATAAGTTTAAACAACAGCAAGAACTGAGTAAAGCATATAACAGAGTAAAATTAATTTAAAATATTGCTTAAAGATAAAATAATACTTAGAAAAACATGCAGTAAATATTTCTGAATAACATGAATGACACACTTAAGATAACATTAATAGACTGGCAAATATTTTCATTCCAGTCTGCTGGTTTGGAAACATGAGTCTGGAGTTAATGTTTAGATTTTGTGCCCCTGTAAGCCTCCATGTGTGGCAACGCCCCTGGCCTTGTTCAACCTTGAGCCGGCGCTGTTTGTGTCTGGGCCTTAACACGTTTACGCTTCAGACGAACTGCTTTTCGTGTTTGCACGACAACGCTAAGATGCTGTGATTTGTCTCCTCAGGTGGGGAGGTGAGTGATGAGAAAAGCCCGCCCGGACCGGCCTCCAAGCGGGTCAGAACTGCTTACACCAGCGCGCAGCTTGTGGAGCTGGAGAAGGAGTTTCACTTTAACCGCTACCTTTGTCGCCCACGGAGGGTGGAGATGGCCAATCTGTTGAACCTCACCGAGCGTCAGATAAAGATTTGGTTTCAGAACAGGAGGATGAAATATAAAAAGGATCAGAAGTCAAAGGGGCTTGCGCACTCCCCGATGGGACACTCCCCGGACAGAAGCCCGCCGCTGAGCGGGCCCAATCACACCGGATACGCGGGCCAGCTCCAAAACGTGAACAGCCTGAGCTACGACGCGCCCTCGCCGCCGCCCTTCGCCAAGCCCCAGCAGAACATGTACGGCCTGGCCGCGTACACGGCGCCGCTGGGCGGCTGCATCCCTCAGCAGAAGCGCTACCCGGGCTCCGAGTACGAACACCACAGCATGCAGAGCAACGGAAGCTTCGCCAACGCCAATTTGCAAGGCAGCCCCGTGTACGTGGGTGGGAACTTTGTTGATTCCATGCCAGCCTCGGGCCCCATGTTCAACCTCGGCCATCTCCCCCACCCATCATCCACCAGCGTGGACTACAGCTGTGCAGCTCAAATCCCAGGAAACCACCACCACGGACCGTGTGACCCCCACCCCACGTACACAGACCTCACCTCTCACCAAGTTTCTCAGGGAAGGATTCAGGAAGCGCCCAAGCTGACGCATTTGTAATATTATGACGTTTCTTGTGCGTGCGTGTGTATGTGTGCGTGTGTGCGTGCGTGCCAAATTACGTTGCGCTCTTTTTTATTACCTCACTAGACTATTAACTATGCTCCGAGAGAGCCGTGTGTACTATGACAGTATTATTGATATTATTATTAATGCTATTGTGTAATTATTTTCTAAATAATACAGCTTTGTCCATTTCTCTTAAAATTTGGAGAAGCTCTAGCCTGATTGTTAATAGTTCTTTTGTTGTTTTTTTCCCCTTTTCGTTTATTCTCAAGTGCAATGCGCAATGTTTGACTGAATATTTCATGCCGTTACTTGAAGGTAAGTCTTGTAGATCACAAAAAGTAGAAGATCATTCTTAGATGGAAAGATTTTTAGGGGGAAAAAAAAGAAGAAAAAATTGTCTGCTTGTTAAAGGATCTCATTTTTTTCCTCACCCTATTTATTTATTGCGTCATTAATTTTGCATAATCCCCGGCACTATAGCATATAGCCTATTTAATTATTTAATTGCTTTTGTATTGCACATTATTTATCGTTTATTATGCGAGTATTTATAAGTGTGGATTTCCGTTGTTGCCAGATCGGACAGAGCGGTGCACTTGTTGGGCAAAACAGGGTTTGTGTATTTTTTTTATTTTATTTTATTTTTTTCAGAAATGCTACCGAGTATTGATGGAGCATTTCGAATTGTATAAATCTGAGACAAATGGGGGCATTTTATAGCGAGTAAACATGTCCACGGTTAATCTCGTGTCAAAACCTTAAGCGAAACGTAGACTATCGAAAAATCAAATATTACGCACACCAGCATGTCATTTTGTGTAGTCCCTTGCGTTTCCTTTTTTTCTTTGTTGTTGTTGTTATAATTATTTGTCTTCCATTGTTATTCCATTCAGTTGGACACCCATAAATTTATGAAACCCCGATGATATTGAAATGTTATATTTTATTGTGTTTAACATTTTGTAAATAAAGTGCTTAAACTTGTATTTGCTCGTTGAGATTTGTTGGTCTCTGTACACAACGCCGCAGTGTCTCCTTGCTGCCACTGTAGCAGAGCGAAGGAGGTTTATTGACCCGCAGCCTTCACTGTACAGTCCAAACAGACAGAGACGATCAATAATTAGACACCAGGATATCTAAAACTCATCAGACGGCTCTATGCTCCCAACGTAAAGTGCATTTTAGCGGAATAAAAGGCTCTCGCGAATATTGATGTTTTATTGGTATGAAGGGAAGTGAGTCTGTGGGCTTATTGCATCCTCCACATGTCGCTTATCATATTTTAAGACTCGGCCACATGATTAGCCTTCCTCCCTCGTGCAATAGAAAGGACCAAATAAGCTCTTCCAAGTAAAGAGCGGAGAGTAACCGCTGGCGGTTTAATTGATTTCAAAATACTAATAAAGCAGATAGGTGCCAATAAAATAAAAAAAAAGAGAAAGAGAGAGAGAAAGAAAAATAAAATACATGGTGGCGCTTTGACATTGGGAGAGACACGGCGATGTGTGTGTGTGTGCCTGAGAAAGAGAGAGAGGGGGTAGAAAGAGCAGTTCATCCTTTATTGCTCCTGGAGAGCCATTTCAAAGCTCATTAATCAAAAACTCGTCGCTTTCAGGCTCCTCGCTGATTCCCCCCTCCATGTGAACAAAGCATTTGCATTCCAAATCCAAGAAACACATTTCTAACCGAGCCAATCTTGAATGGTGGGGGGAGAGAATTTAAGAAAAAAAAAGAGAGAGAGAGACACAGAGAAAGAATAAGTAAGATGTTCTGGTTTTCTATAAGATGATAGATCCTGCGATTTAAGAGCGCATGAAGGCAAATGAAACTCTTGTCACAGAAATGATCAGCGGCTTTAAATCTGCGCAGGTTCACAGTCACTTTCATTCCCTTAAACTTTCCTTCATGCCAGACAGCCGTCTGAGCGCGCAGTTAAAACAAATCCCTTCAAACAAAAGCTATTAAATTGATCTGATCTTTCAAAACAAAGAGTCATACTGAATCATTTGAGCTACTGGGGGGAGGCTGGGCTGCAAACCAGCCCAGTGTTCAGGGGACGGCGGCCATTTTACCCCCGCTGTGCTCTGATACTCCACTTTCTGTGCAGAGCAAGTCATTTAATTGAAATATGTATCAAAAATAGGATTGATCATGAGGACAAAGGTGTGACAGGCTTATAGATTGAAAAGGCAGCGAAAAAGACATTTTAATTAACATATATATAAAATCAGAAGAATAAACGATTTGACAGTAAACATCTATTTTAGAAGCTAACTATTAAACATGGAGACAAAACAAGTAGTTTACATATCTATGAATTAATTAATTGGAAAATAATCAGCATCAGAATGTAAACCTCTCCAAATAGGGCAAAGTGATTCTCTGATGATGTTCACACGACACACCGATAAAATAATTGGGTCAATGAAACAAGTGTAACAATTTTAGTATTTTCTTCACTGAACTGTACTCAGGATTGCAGAGTATTTAATAGACTTAAATAAGATATTTCAAAGACTTAAATCAATTGAAATTCAATGAATTCACCAAACTAATTTTGCTCGTGTGCTTCATCCTCCACACTAAAAATAAATACAAATTAAGAATTGGTTTTGATCAATGCATAAAATGATGCTCAGCTAGACATTTTAATTCTACTCTAACAAGCTGGCATGACAACCGTTTCCCTGACAACCGCAGCTAAGATGTGCCACACAGAAAGCAACTGTCTGAGGATAAAGAAACTCGGCTTGTTTAGAAGTTTGACTTTAGCATTTGCAGAGGGAGTAAACCAATTACAGTTGGACACAAAGATAAATTCTTGCCTCAACACAGAAATTATACCAGTTGCAAATGTAATGTGGATCTTTACTGAATTGATACAATTGAAACCATGAGTTTACATGCGCTGCATAGAAGGCACATAAAAATCTTCTTACTGCCTAAATCAAACTAAGCTTTTCATTTATTTTTTCCCCTAAATGTAATCATAATTAAATGTTTTGTTTATTATTATTTTCTTCTTTTAAACTGTGTGATTGGACATTTTTGATATTATTTAGCTTCTCATAATAGTTTGTTGTAATATTGGCCAATTCCTTTTGACAGAACTGATGTATCTGAGTCAGTTTTATGGGTCCCATTGGTCACACACACCATTTCATCTCTTCCCATAAATTTTCCATAGAAATGAGATAAGAACTTTGTGGTGGCCACTCCAAAACACTGACTTTAGTGTCCTTAATACATGCTTATTGTTATCTTTATTGTTGTCACATTGTTATTTTTTGCATAGGATCTGTTTTGTGAAGTGCACCAGTCTGCCCTCCAGCAAAACAGCCACACAATAGGGTGTTGTTGCTCCTCTGTACCACTGAAATGGTGCATGTCTTCCAAATTTAAAGACTTTATTCTTGGGTGCATTTGAAAATCATAATCTTACTTTTTTGTTGCAGTTGCTTTTATAGTAAGGGTTTCTTCCAGTCAGAATTACTTCAGGCTATTTTGGCACAGGATTCATTTAACTAAAAATATGTATGCTCTTTTGCATGCTTTGGCCAGCAGTTTTGGGATTGATACGGACATTTTGCACCAAAACATGTTCATCTCTTAGATACAGAACCCATCTCCTTCCTGAATGGTAAAGATGGCTGGACATTCCCATAGTGTTTATACTTATACTTTGAAGAAAGTAATAAAATAAACTTCTCTTTCATTATTCTGACATTCAGCAAATAAAAATATTGTTGGTTATTCAAACTGATCTTTGTTTTATTTAACCTCAGACAGTAAAGAAAAAAAAACATATCTTTTTATACCATGTAAACATCGTATGCAGTCCTACATATAACAATCTGTTTGAACAGATATGCCAACCCTACTGCACACAAAGGAGAACAACAGCAGACTAACCGACACCTTTAATTTTTATCTGATAAAAAATGTTTAGCTAGAATCTGTCAAGTATTGTTAAAATCCAGTCCTTATCCAACTCTACATTTCCAAACAAATGTATTTTTTATGAAATTTTAATAGCACTGACTAAAACTTAATGTCCTCCAAGATTATTCTTTTGGTGTGACTGCGTACAGCTTAGATCAAATGTAGCAATCTGTCATGGTGAAAGAATGCTTCAGCTCATTTAGGAACCACAGCAGCACAGTTCCTTTGCTTGGAGCTGTTTTGTAAAAGAGAAACGTAATGGCAGGACGGGCATGGAGCTCTCTCTCTCTCTCTCTCTCTCTCTCTCTCTCTCTCTCTCTCTCCCTCTGTGTGTGTGTCTTTCTCCCTCTAAACGTGTGTTGGAAGGATGTGCATGCAAATAGTACAAAATTTATTGTTGCAATCATGAGCGACGATGCATGTTTAATTGTCTCAGTCCAATTATATGTTTTTTATTTTATTATCCATTTTTTTTTCTGCAGCTGAAATTTTTAAATAACTAAATTAATCCAGAAGAACTCCAGCGCATGGAGCTCATTTTGTGTCCATGATTGGACACAAGCCGATCAGACCACGCCCTCCCCGTGGAGGCTTGATATTTACATCCGTGGAAGTGGACCAACTATTAACGACAACAAGACATTCTGGTGGCCTTTAAACTCATAGACGCACGGGATGTGGGTGGAAAGCTCACGCATCTAATTTGTTTCGTTTTCATTTTTGTAATGTATTTCACCAAGACCGACGGACACAAGATTTTTAAACAAGGGTAGCAGAGGAGAAAAGCAGCTTCTCTTGTAAAATGTTCGGCTTAATGGCTGTACAACGGGAAGAATCGTCCATTCAGAAAGCAGCATCACCCTTCAATCATGCCTCCAGGAAAGCTGCTCTGACCGTCAGCGTTGCAGGAACATATCGCGATGACTTCCTTCGTGCAAGTGAGCATCATCCAATCCTATATTAAATTACAGAGAGAAGTTTCTATTGTTGTTAAAAGCGCTGTTTGAAGATGTTGCAAAAGAAATCTGGTGACAAATTCAGTTTCTGTTTTGTTCTCCAGCCGCCTTGTTCCTTTTGTTAAGCGCCTCCTGCTCTGCTTTTTTGTCATCGCATCTCATTGTGGATTATGACGCTTCTGGGAAAGATTGGCTTTTCAGCTGAACTGAGAAATGAAAGGTCTTTGATAGAAAAACAATTAGTTTCAAAGCTAAAATATTTTTTTATGTCATTGAGTTTGATTTTGGCAAAGGTAATAAATTATGTCATGTTACTAATGCATGCTGCCAAGTTATTGTTGCAACTACTAATAATGTGAAAAAAAAAAGTTAGAAATGTGCTTGCTTATTATAAAATGTTATTTTTGTATGCAGATGTAAAAAAAAAAAAGAAGAGATGAGGCCACACAACCTAATCCAAAGAAATTTGCACAGCAATTAATTTACATCATGTTTTAAGGAGGTTTCAATGTAATGAAGTTATTTATTTATAATTTTTTTGTAATATGATGAATAAAGTTTCTGGTTTTCCTCACCTTATAAAACTTATGCTTTTGAATTTGAACACAACAATTATGCAATAATATTTACTGTAAACCTTGTTTTTATCTGCATTAAAAATGCCTTGATATTCCTGTAAAATATCAAATTATGCACCCGATGTTCTGTGGAGTTTCTGTGATATTATTTGTTTTACAATGAGCCAAAATCCACGTGACCCCTTTGGATGTTCGTGTTCTGTGACGGGGATAATCACTAAAAAAGGAAATAAAGTTCTTCAAACCAGTGTGTATTTTTGTGAAATGTTTTTCCAATATCCTTCCACTTTCTTTTCTTTTTAATTTTTTAAGAAAACATTGTCCTGAAGAGATCAGGATATTTCTTTCTTTTATCTCCCTGCATTTCTTGATTGCAGGTTTCCTCTGTGTGAAACTGTTCTGGTTTGAGTCTGGCTGGATGTGGATCACACACCCTGACCATCTGCTGCGACAGAGGACACAAATGTCAGAGGACGCCACCATCAGTCCTTCACTCTGTGGCCTCTGTTG